GTGCAAGACCAAAGAAGTGAGCTACTGAAATGCGAAAGTAAAGCTTGAGCTTCTGTGTATCAACTGTGTTCGAAGCATTGCGCTCATATGCATTCATGTTTGCTCCACTCTTCTTCTCTCGCCCCTCTCAGCCCGCACCTGACTGAGCTCGTCCCGCGTGATGGATCCAGACCCATCTTTGTCAAAGCGCTGAAAAGCCTTGAGCACCGTCTGATCAGCCGGCATGGCTTGGAGCTGTTGCGCTCCACAGTTGTGCTAAGCCTGTGTTGGGGCTTTGCTTCAAGGCAGCTTCTTGCTGCCTTTTTGAGCCAGCGGTCAAGTACTCACAACTTCAAACTCGAAGGTATGACACTCCGAGAATGGCGAAGGGAATGCGATGAGTCCAAGAGTGCCGAATCCTGCACACAACAGTTGCGCTTTTGCAGCCCTGGCACACAGAAGGGGGGCCCAGACTACAACAAGAGCAAATGCTGCACAGTATAGAGCGCGCCAGCTGGAATAAAGGACTAGTCTCGCTCCAATTCGTGTGGGCATTGATGTGTGCTTAACATAGGGCCGGTGAAGCCGGCGGTCGGAAGCTTCTAGACAAGGATATAGAGCAAGGCTCTGTCGGGTTTGCCTGCGTGAAGCTGCTCAGTGTGCAGTCAAACCAGGCCGCAGCATTGCGCCCCGTCTCGGTACAGGCGAGGTTCTTCAACTTTCTCGTGTCAGCTACGTCCCGCGTGCCTTTTTTGTTGCAGCAACAAGCATCCAAGCAGCTCAAGGCATGCGTCTTCCTGGCAGCGCCATGATCCCTGTTGAAGGATTGCCGGCAATTGCCCGGGAAGCGGCCAGATTCCTAACCTTGTCGGCATCCCCCCCCCCCCCCCGGACCCCTTGTTGCGCGAGATCTCTGCTCCAGCTGCCTCGAATCCGCCTGAAGCGACAGGGCCGGGAAGCGGTCAGATCCATCACAAAGTCAAGACCCCCTCCAGAAGCCAACCAAATCCCCCCAGAAACCAGTCAAATTCGCCGGAAGTTTGCACCTTCGCTTGGCCCAGGCCCACTGCCACTCTCTGCGGCTCTCGTTCCGGCCCTTGAAGCCATGTCTGAAACACTCGGACGTGCACCCACTCTCGTTCCGGCTTCAAGCTCCGCTTCCTCTCTCTTTTCCCGCCCCGCGCCCAGATGCTATTCTGGCGCCTGCTTGATGTGCAACGCCTTGCCGCTTGCGTCGCGCCATCTCTTCGGCGTGCCATCCAGGTCCACATGCCCAAACCGTCTGGCGGGTTTCGAGCCCTGTCCATGCTGGAGGAGGGCTTCGAGGCGCTTGAGGGGCCGGTCACCAAGCGTCTGGTTGAGCGTCGCAGGATAGAGGCGATGCAGCTGTATTCCTCTACCAACCAAGCGTACGCACCCAGGGTAAACGCGGCGGCCGAGGTCCTCCACGTGGACACGCTTGTTTGCGAAGACGCAGCTCGCCACGCACGCCCCCTGTGCCGTATCCCTTCTGATTATGAGAATTTTTTTAACACCCTACTGATCCCGCAACTTGACGCCGTCCTCCAAGCTCGCGGTGTTCCGGACAGCGTTCGCCGCTTCTACGCCTCGGCGTTCCAAGGGCACGTGCTTCAGCTTGAAACCCGCTTCGGTCTGACTCCTGATGTTCAGGTGCAGCGAGGAATCATGCAAGGCGCGGTGTCCAGCCCCGAGTTGTCCCGTCCCGCTCAGGATCCCATCCTTCGCCTCAGTATAGCTCTGCTGCTTATGTCACGTCCCGCGGTCGTCGCGTGGCCACGGCCGGGTACTCAGATGATGCTGAGCACTATGGCCGCGGCGTCGCGGATATACCTGACATCGTCGCCGAGCTTGGTCTTGGCAGCATTCACACTGGTTTTGGCTTTGCTTGGGACAAATTCTCCGCCTTTGCTACTGACTGGGATGCTTCTTGGTCTCTTCTCCCCCCTGAGTCCGGCCTCACTGAGGATGGTGTTCGCGTTACCTCCTTTGACATCTGGAAGGGCGGGCAAGCTTCGACGCACCCTGCCCGACGCCTCGGAAACTCTCCTGGGCAAGCCCGGTGTCTTCTCTGACAAGCATTCGTTGGCAGCTGAGGAGCTTTTGCAGAAGCTTCGTCGCGCGCTACAACGCCTCTCTGCTCTCCGTGCTTCGTGGGACGAACGTGTTGCATTCTTCCAATGGATCATGCGGGGCGTTGTCGGTTACGTTCCCTTAGTTGGCCTTCCGCAGCCGTCCGATCTGCACGCAGTGGATGCGGCATTCCATAACCTCGTTCTGGCTGGAATGGGTGTGCGTTCTACTGTGGAACGCATGAGCCTCCTTGCGGCCAAGTCGTGCGGAGGAATGCAACTCCCCTCGGTGGTTGAAAGTATCCTTGCCGCTGCTGGTGCGGATCTCCTCCTGCTGCTATCAGGAAGGTCAGAAGCCTCGGTGCTTGCGCGTCCTTGCGCGATGCTCTCAATGCTCCGCCTGTCGAGGCTGAAGCGCTTGGTGGTCTCGTCGTGCTGGCCCTCCGCCTTCTTGCTGCATACGGTTTCCATGTGTGTGTTCAGCCGGACCGCTTCACAGCGCGGGTCCTGAACGCATTGCCACGCCCCTCCTCCCAACCTTTAGTTGGTTCCTTCCGGCCCGTGTTGGCAAGGCCTTCTCTTACGCTTGCTCGCGTTGGATTTGTTGCTAACTCGTTGCGGCGGATCTTTGCGGCCTTTGTGGCTGAAGGTCGCCCTCGATCCAGATCTTGCCCTGTGGAGTCACGTTCTTCCTGCCGCCTTTCCTTTCTCCCCAGCAGAGTGCTCTCTTGCAGTGGCTCAGGCGTTGGCAGAAAGCCAGCGAGATTGGCGCGTTGAGTGTGCTCTGTTCCGTCCTGCGCCACCTCTACCTGAAGATTGGGGCCTCCACTCCTGGGAGGACCCTTGGGCGAGCGCAGACCCTCGGACGTCTTTCTTGGATGCCTTTGCGTCTTTTCCGGCCGCGCTGGACTATGCCATGTACAGCGATGGAAGCGCGTCGGGCTCGAGTCAGTGCTCCTTCAGCTCGCAGGCTCGGGCCTTTGGCCTCCCCCCCAACTACTGGCAATCCTGCCCAGTGGTGACTCAGCCATTGCTTGCCGTATGCCCCCCTGCTATAGTCGGGAGTCATCGTCCGTGCACACTGCTGAGCTAATGGGAATGATTTCTGCGCTGCGCCATGCTGAGCCGGGGCATTGGAACCTATTTGTCGCTGACCGAAGTGCTCTTTTCTCACTTCTTCGTGCTGCCTCCCCTCGCGACGTGGATGCCTCCCTCCTTCGCTCAGCTCATGCCCCACTGGCCTGTCGCGTGTTCTGGTTACTGGACCGGCTCCGCCGTGGTTGGACGGGCTGTCCTGGTCGCACTCCAGGATGGCGAATGCATCAGACGTCCTTCCCTGACCAGTGGAACGTGCGGCGGCAACATGAGGGCCATCTCGCATGGTTTTGCCAGATCCCTTTTTGCCAATATGGTTGGGGTGGACGTGAAAAGCCACCAGTCCAGCGTCCCTGTTACCATGGACCTCATTGTGCTTGGAAATGAGGCGCAGGACCGCGCGTGCGCAGCCGCCAAAAGCCAGCCCCTTCCTGACTGCGTGCGTCTCCCGTCTGGGGGCCCTTTTGCTTTTCTCTGCTACCATCAGGCCATGGTCACATCCCCCACCCGGTCTGCAATACGTGGCGTCCTTCGTCAGCAGGCTCTGACGGAATGGCGGAAGCGCCCGGTTCAGGGCAAAATCGCTGCTATGCAAGGCTGCGTCTTCTCGGATGTTCTCGACATGTCCTTCTACACCTCCTGTCCAGGATTTGGCGCTTCGTCCCCACTTCGCCTCCCGCATGATCAGCCTTCGGTGGATCTCTCGGTTACCTTGTTCCGCTGCGTCCGTCTCGTTGGGGGCGGATGGACTGAGCGTATCAAAGTTGACCCGCAACTCATGTCAGTTGCCCGCCATCTCTACGAGCGCAATATCCTTGCCTCCCCTCGCACTTGCCCGCTCTGCAGGGCTTTGCCGGGCACACCTCGGCATGTTATCATGAGCTGCTCTGTCATGAAGCCGTTGGTCGACCTACTCCGCGATGTGCTGGAACAGCGGCTGGATCAGCTGAATGCCCATGGTCTTATGCTCCGCAATGCACACGTGGCACAGGGATGTGCAGGCGCGTGGTCTGGGAACGATCATTGGCAGCGTTGCCCCGGAGGTGCAGGCCCGCTGGCCCTTGCTCTCACTGGCGCTGGCTTGTTCCCACGCTGGACCGGGAAGTCATTCTTTCTGCCGACACTGGGGGCCATAGTGCGGCAGCGGTATGTGCCGAGGGGGAATGTGACCTCGCCCACCGCGGTGTTTTACCTGCTGCACTTGGTCGTGCCATCCTCCAGGCAGCTCGGGGCACGCCTGTGCCGGATGATGCCTTGCCTGACGCAGCTGAAGGCTTTGCGCACCTTCTGAGTTCTGCCCAGCTCGCCGCTGAGCAGGCCAGGCACCGGTCACTTGTGGACAGGCTCCGGCCGGCTATTGATTTCACTGCTCTCTTGCTGCTAGGACTGGGCTCGTGGCGTCCTGCGTGCGCTCCATGCAAGCGTGCTCGGCGCCGCAGCCCGAGCCAGCAATGGCAGGTATCCCTCCAGGTGTCCCCTCTCCGCTGGCGCGCTACCAGGCGTGGAGCACATCCCCTGGCGGGGTTGTCACCCTTCGTGCCTTGAGGTGGCTCGCGCCAACGTCTGCAATTATGTGTTCACGCCTGTCCTCTGAGCTGGGATGTCGCCTTTCGGAGCGTACCCTTCAGCAAATCGTGCGGCTGGCCCAAGCCAGCGGGGTCCCGGTCCGCACCGGCATGTCGCTTGAGTGGGGATACGCTGTCACCTGGCCTTTTGCTCTTGAGATCCTTCATACGCAGTGCGCCTGTCCTGCGCTTCCTGGCCCTCTCCCTGCCCTTGATCTGTGTTCCACGTGCGGGCGGGCGCGGCTGGCTCCGGCCCCGCCCGAGCCTCTCCCTTGCTCATGGTGTCACGGGCTTGGGGATGCTGTGTGTCGTGGCTGCAACCACTGTATCCACTTCCGGCCTCACTGTCGTTGGAACTGTGGTGCTCATGCAGCGTGCCTTTCAGCTCTGCCCTGACTGTGCGTTCTCTTGGTTGTCTGCAGTTGCTGCCTCACCTCTCCGTCCAGTTCATGCTCCTTTGCAGGAAGCCCTGAGTGCGCACATAGAGTCGGTGGTTAGTCAGGTCCATCCAGGAGCCGGTCATGGCGTGGCTCAGCCGCCTGTGCTCAGCAACCGTCGCATCAAGCGATGGCTGTACCGCTTCCTGCAACGTAGATCCGACCCTGTCACAGTCTCCGCGGCCCTAGCCGCCTGTGATGGTGCTCTCGGCTCTCCGCCTGGCCTTTCAGTTGGCTTTCGCCTCTGTATCGAGAATCTGCGTCGGGAAGGGGGGATGGTCCTGACCGTCGTCGCAGGCGAGCCTGCCATTGCTTTGGCCTGAGCTCGGGAAGGTCTCACATCCTACCGGGCCTGTTCTGGGGTGCCTTGCATGCTTCTGTTCCTGCGTTTTCTTTGTTACTCATGCTCAGGCCCCCCAGTTTCCGGCCCCACTGTTTCCACCCTCTGCCCCTGTCTTAGCTGCGCCGGCCTTGGGTTCCCCATGGTACGGCTTGTGCCTTGGCTGCGTTTATTTTTCCGGCCGGCTTGAACCCCAAGCTTCGGCCGGGGGGGAAGCGCGGGCCTGGCCTCACTAACATGTGCTGGCCACACGCCAACCAACCAACCAACCAACCAACCCACCCTCTACCGTGGAAACCAGCTCACACAGTTCGGCGCCGACTCACTCACTCAAATAAGCACAAGACTTCAAGGCAAAACGAAGCACGGTATTTCCTCAAAGCCAGCCAAAAACGGACTGGCCGAGGCGGGCAACGCGATTTTTTTTACAATAAATGCAAGTGATCCGACTTGGCCGTAAGTTGTGACCAGCTTGCAAAGCAAAGGCGTGCGAAGCGCCGAGGCAGTCTCGGATTAAAGTTGCGGCTTGCTTTGGCAATTGAGACTCTCGATAGACTTAAAGCAGATCGGAACAAATTGCCAGAGAACAGCGCGAAAGAGGAAGGGTGGGTCGTTCTAACCAGTCTTGCTTCACCTCCACTGATCCATAAAATGTGCCTTCAGGCGCAACCCTCTGTGAGGCACATGCTTGGCGCATCAAGCAAAATGGAAGCATCATCTAAAGCGCCCCTGCTGCGAGGCACTCCCTCGACTATGCGCATGGAGTACGAAGAGGAGTCGAGGTCAGTCAACGCACTTCCCCTCGCGGAGTTTTGGCATGGTTTGGTGCCACTTGGTGACCGACGCCCCGTGCTACACACGGCAAAGCAGGGCAGTATAGGACAGGAGCACGCACGAGTGCTCACCTACACAAGCACACTTCGGAGCGCATCCCTTTCCGGAACAAACACCAAAGCGGTGGTGAGGTAGCTCCTGTGCCACCCTTGCCAATGAAAGTGCCCCAGGGCAAGCGGCCTTTTGAAGGCGTGCAATCCAAAAAGGATCTCAAATGGCTCAAGCTTCAGAAGAGTACAGTAGCCAGCGCCGCAAGCTACATGTGGCTTTTTCTCCAGTCTTAGCCGAAACCCTTCGCGCGCCAGTCCAACAACATATCTTCGTCCACTTCCTCGTCACTGCCATCCTTGGTGACGCAAATCGCTGATCTTGCGAGCCGTCGAACTCCTAAGGTCCTGGCGCTGTCAGCCTCGGTAACCTTCTCCACGCTTGCGGACACAGCTGCGCCTGGCTTGCCGCCCACTGCAGGCGGGTTTGGATAAGCAGATCAGATGAATTGTGACTGGTCACAAATGCTTTGCTGTACGCATGCACGGACGGAGCACGGACCAAGGATAGCAAGCACGCAGATGGGCAAACATTGGTCGAATAAAGGTGGCTAGTACAGGCAGCCGTACCGGCCTTTTTGCTGGGCCTTTTCGCGGAGTTGCTTCAGACGCAGCTGCAATTGTGTTTGGAACTCCTTGTCAGGTCTCTGACACTTTGCAAGTCATACTTTGAATACCAAACCATGAGATTCAAACATGTCAAGTCGTGAGCGGTCCTCTTCTTCTGCGGCCACCGCTTCGTATTTTTCTTCGTCAATCTCATGCCTGTATTCGGAGGCACTCCCGTTTCCCAGCCTGATTGAGTTCATTGCTTCGAAAAGTGCGTATGAGGTCATTGGTACTCCACGATAGTGACCAATTGCTTCAGCAATGTCGGTCAAAAGCAGTCCATGTTGGGCCATGGTTGGATGGTAGTTCTCTCCACTTTGGAATACTTTGGATACTTTTGGATATGTTCGTTCCTCCTGATTTTAAGCGTTTGCTTGTATACATGGTTGGAGACTGGTTGGAGTTGGGACTAGTGCAGTGTTTGGGTTGCATGTGACATAAGGCAAATGCCTTTGTCATAGCTTCGGATACAACGGACATGCGCCAACTGAATGTCAAGACTGCATGCCATAGCAGCCATGCATCCTAGATTATTCAACCTTAAACAAGTGCTGCGATTGTTCTGTACTTGCTGAATCATTCCCTGTCTTTTGTGGTCCTATGCAGTGAAGCTGTGTGGCTCTCGTGTGATCGGAAGCTTTCAGTGCCCCACTTGAAGTCAAAGTCGCTCTCAAATATAGGTACAGCGGGATCTTCAGCTCAAACAATCTTGTCACAACGTTCAAAGCAATGAAAGGAAGCCGCTACCCGACAAGAGTAAGTTTGAGAGACCCCGACATGGAGCATGCCGACCTCACAATGCCCGACTGTCAAGAACAAGATCAACAGCAGGAACAAGTGCAGCAACCACATCATGTACAAGCAGTCAACCATGATCGCAAAATCTGAAGCTCGCTGCGCCTGGCTGACTGATGACAATGTAACAAGAGTCAATGACAATGACATCTTTGCTGGCAAAGCACAAACAAACAAACAAACAAACAACCAAACAAACAAACAAACAAACACACAAACACACACACACACACAAACAAACAAACAAACACGCAAACAAACAAACAAACAAACAAACAAACAAACAAACAAACAAACAAACAAACAAACAAACAAACAAGCAAACACACAAACAAACAAACAAACAAACAAACAAACAAACAACCAACCAAACAAACAAACAAACAAACAAACAAACAAACAAGCAAGCAAACAAGCAAGCAAACAAACAGGCAAAAAAACAGGCAAACACCAAATCAAGCAACGACTCCAGAGCAAGTCATTCGAGTTAAACGGACTTTGGGGCCATAACCGATTCTCAATTACAACAACCTCAAAGAACGTTGACCTCAAGCATGTCTCAAACACAACAATCAGACTTCAACAGGTTGTAATCATCTGGGACAACGAAAGCTTCGACGCTAGAAGGCAATGCCCGTGCCACGAATCGCAAGCAGGCAATCCAGCACCAAGGATTCCTCACATCAAACAGATGTGAGTCAATCTCAACAAGCGGCAGAAGGTTGTGCGATCGTCCAGCAACAAAGCATGTCAGACATCTAATAAATGGCGGTGCATTGCCTGGACAGCTCTACTTGGCGAAACTCTGCAAGGACTTAACTCCAGCTTGTGTGTATTGATTCTCGTTGAGTACCCATGATCGCCTGGTTTCCTCTGCCTTTTCCTGCTCCGCTTGCATTTCTCGTTCAAATCCTCAGTCCACAGACAATAATTACCTGTCAGGTCTGCATGATTCTGAGAAGGAGACTCTTCAGGCCCTCCTCCAACTCCCTTTCTGCTTTCTTGGAAGGCGCCTGGCACACCGAAAGAAGAGCACGTTCGCCTGAAAGAGCGCGTTCGCACTGGAGAGCGGAACGAAAGGTGTATCGGGAGGCTGTGCTGCAAGATATGCCTTGGCGTGCCTTGGCGTGCCTTGGCTTTCAAGCCCTGCAGTTTGCCATGCCTCCATGCCCCTCATCTTGGCATCGATGTCAGGGTCATCGAAGAACCCCTCTGGCAGGCCCTGACACATGTCACCAGGCTTGACTTCAATGCTTGGAATGTGTTTGCAGCCTTGTCATCTTCAGCATCGTTGCCTTCCCCCTTGTTGGTTGCGAGTCCAGCAAAGTTGCACATTTCATGTGGACTCGTGCAGATCTGAGGGCCCCTCCTGGACCAGTTCAGCAGCACCCTGTTGAGAAATGCCGTGCGTTGCGTCTGCAATGCGTCTGAAAATCCCATCATGTAAAATGTCATTTGATGCCGTGCCTGCACCGCAGGCCCAGAGGGCGCAGCTGGCTCAGCAAGCTCAGGCTCAGCAGGCCCAGGCTCAGGCGCAGCTGGCCCAGCTGATGCCTCCAAATTCGTGAGTGCCACGTTGTGACACGATGCGCTTGGAAGGCAGTGGCAAAGACGGCATGGGCACATGATAGGGTTTGTCTGTCTTCTGTTTCTTCTATGATTCAGCACGCTGCTCATGTGACTGCAGGGTACTACATAGTCAACCTAGAGTATTCTTGCAGTGTGCGAATATGTTTGTTTTGTTGCGAATTTTGAGGCATGGGACACACAGTACCTGCTCAATATATAGATGCAAGCAGCAGACTCAAGATATTGCAGCCTCCTATTTTTGTTCGGACTTCTTTATTTCAGGGATGCTGTTCGAGTAAGCCTCTGGATTTTCTGGCAAGTCCTGCCAGCATCGAGCAGCATCACCAGCAAGCTGTAGGTTGGTTTGAACCTGTTTGGAATGGTTGGGCCGGGGGGCCGGGGTTGTTTTAGCGTGGGCTCAGGATTGGTGTCGGGTGGGGTAGGGCTGGCTACGACCTCGTTGGAGGTTCATGCCGGTTGAGGCAAGTGAGGCATGTCTGCTCCGAGCAGTCTAGAGCTTCTGGGCAAGCAATCTGGCTTCGAAGCAAATAAGTCAATAATCCCAAACAGCTCCTTTGCAAATGCTGGGTACGGTTTGTGACCCTTGCGACCTTCGGCAGCGACATTCCATGCTGCCACAGTTTGCCCGATTCTTGTATGATCGGCTCACGCGGCGATGTTTGTGTGGCTTCTGCAAGTGACAAATTTCCGCACGCGGGCGATGCGCGCTCCTCGCAACGGCTTGTCCATGGAGTGGCCTACGGCAAAAGGAGCACGCTTTCAAGGAAATTGAAAAGGCGCTGCAACACCTTGGCCACGGCCCAAGCTCATGGCTTCCACGTACGCCTGTGCGCGCTCCTTTGGGCAAGCATTGGAAACGCGCGCGCTTGAAGGGACGGAAACAACTTGCGCTGCCCGAAGGCAGTCCTCTAGAGTCAACTCACTTTGCCGCAGAGCGAGATCTCGCAACTTTCACAAAGCGTATTACTCCGCCGGCGCCAGTCGAGCGTGTAGATGGCAGTCCGCAACTTGGTTTTTTTTCGGAATCTCTTCTCAAAGCCGAAGGCTTCTGGGACTGCTATTTTTTGGGCATGCTGCGCTAGTTTCCAAAACCCTGTATTTATACAGTGTTTTTGGGTCTTTCGTGCGAAAAAATGCGTTTCGCCTAGGTCTCTGGGGGGAGGGGGGGGAGGGGCTTCCCCCGGACGTGCAGGATCTGCATCCCCAGCACCATCAGGATTATCTTGTTGCCATGAATTTGTCTTTGTTTTTTGCAGATACTAGTGGTGCTTTGCCGTTTCAAGCGATGCTGGAAGTTGCCTGTTAGGGGTTTGGGTGGGGCCAAGTGCAGTGATGCTTTGAGGAACTGTTGAATTTTGCAAAAATGGGTGATTTTGCAATTCCCCACCTGTACAAGCAGTTGTTACTGCGTTATCGTGCTTTTGGAAGTCTATTTTTAGGGTATTTGAGGAGGTTGCTAGTATCAGTTTTGGATGGTTGCTTCTGGGACATATCGAAAACCCCGGATGTTTGCACTTTTTTGTGGCTAGCCGGCTGCATTCCCAGCATTCCCCACATCTCTGGTATTTTCTGTGCTTGGTCAATGTTGCGTGTCTGAAAGTCTTAAAATCTTGAGCGCGAAGATTGGGTCTGTCCTGTAAGTTGTGTGGTTGCATCCCTTGCATTTCCAGCAGCCTCAGCATCTGGGACATGAAAACAAGAAAGTGCCAAGAAGGCCTTGTTGCACTTACAAAACGTTAAGAGCCCCGTGTCACCGAGGCAAAAAGCATCTTTTTCCTGACCCCAAACTCGACGCACCCTTTCCTTCCACGTGCTAAGAGCCCCATGTGACCTAGGCAGAAGACAACATCTTTTTCCCTACCCCAAATTCAAGGCACCTCAGAGCGGCGTTGTTTGTTCTCCTTCCACGCGTTAAGACTCCCGTGTACCGCAAATGCAAAGTACATTGCAAGAGAGGCGTTGCTTGTTCTCCTTCCAGGCGTTAAGAGACCCATGTCCAGGTGACCTAGGCAAAAAGACGTTTTTCGTCGTTTGGTCTCTTTTCACTTGTTAAGAGCCCCGTATGACCTAGGTAAAAAGACGTCTTTTTCCCTGCCCCAAATTCGAGGCACCCTGCAGCCGACGTCAGAGGGGTGCTGCTTGTGTTCTCCTTCCACGCGTTAAGAGCCAGCAAGCTGACTTTGTGCAGCGCTGGTCTGGCAATTGTCCCTTGAGCCAGTGCAGACTCCAAATTAATCACCCCCGGTGAATTGGTAGGGGACTGCACTGGCGTCGGCGGATTGCGTAGCGATTTCAATAGTCCCCTCTATAGTAGAAAGTTTTTTCTAATTCAGGATCCTCTATTATGGAAAGTTCTTTGGCCGGAACATGCCGGAAACAACGCTGGAAAAATATGGGCAAAACACTTGGCAAACAAGTCGGGCAAAAAATCAAACAAATCCTGGCAAACATTGGGAAATCCTTTTCTTGAAGTGCCCCCCAAGCCATCAAATTTAAGAAACTTTCTTTACAAAAAAGTGCGGGCACACAGTCACACAAAGGGGGGTGCCCAGAAGAGGCCCAGATCCTCTTTAATGAAACTGTTTTGGGGCCCTCTTTAGTGTCCAGCTGGTTTCGGGGTTGCTGAAATTTGAAAACCAAAGCCTCAGCCTTTTACTTTCGGGGGCTCCCCAGCTCAAAGGTTAAAGGCCTGAGATCTAGGAAATCCATTTTGCAAGTTGATCAAATTTAAGATAACTTCTGTACACAAAGTGAGGGCAATTAGTCACGCAAAGGGGGGTGCCCACAAGAGCCCCTGATCCTCTTTGGTCTGGTTTTGGGGGTTGCTGCAAAAAACGGTTGGCATACTACTACAATAGAATTGGCAATACTAAAGTAAGTCCTGGGAACCTGAGAGCCAGCCTTGAAATTGGCAATGCTAAAGTAAGTCCTGGAAGGCTGAGAGCCAGCCTTGGCAATACTAAAATAGCATTGGCAATACTAAAGTAAGTACTGGGAAGCTGAGAGCCAGCCTTGGCAATACAAAAGTAAGTACTGGGGGGTGTTGGCAATACTAAAATAGAATTTGCAATACTAAAGTAAGTACTGGGAATCTAAGAGGGAACCTTGGCAATACTAAAGTAGAATTGGCAACACTAAAGTTTGTGTTGCCCTTCCCAAACTGCAGGATTTCCACAAAAGAGGGTCCAGCTGACTGGTTCCACTATTCGGGGGGGGGGGCCGTGTAAAGAGGGTCCAACATTAATGAGCCGTCACTCCGGGCTGTGTCCTGTGCGGCAGCTGCGCTCTGCTCTATCATGGCACTGCTTTCCCGTGTCGGACAGGCGATCTGTGATGCGCCCGCAGATGTCAGCAACACATGGTTCGTTTGACCTGCGTGTTCTTCTGCTTCGTCTTCTCCTTGCCCCTTTGCCTCGCCAAGGCCTTCGCCTCGATCAAACTCAGCGAGACTGCTGGCGAGCACCTTCCCCAACCTGCTCCTTCCCCGCCAGACAGCTTCAAATCGGCGGCGCTTTGCGCATCCGCTCGTACCACCAAGATTTGTTGCTGCGTCTTCTCCAGCATTGTGACCGTGCCCTGCTTGCGGGCTCACCTGACGCAGTTACAAACGTCCGCCTTTGTCAGCTTTCCACTGACCGTCATGAAGTCCGTGGCCCCCCCAGCTCTAAGCATGGCTCGGGGCAAGCCTCTCTGGCTTGTCAGCTTGTCTGCGACAGTGAAGCTGGAGTTGCGCAACTGCATCAACTCCTTGTGTGTGATTCGCATCACCACCTGCAGACTGTCTTTCGCCAGTGTCACCAGCAACACCTCTTGCCACACAGGGGAGTCAAAGCTGATTGCTTGGCGGACAAAATCCCCTTCCACCATGGTGAGGCGTGTTGACAAACTCGAGACAGCCAACAAAAAACACTAGAACCACGGGTGGCCCGAAAGTATAATGGAAACTGACCAAAGACAAGCAAAGCGAGCCGACATGCAGGGGTGCCAGTGGAGTGGTTGCGTGCACACGCGTGTGCCTGCGTGTGTGGGTGTGTGTGTGTGTGGGTGTGCGTGCGTGGGTGTGTGTGCGCACGTGTGTGCACGTGTGCGCGTGCGTGCACGTGTGGGTGTGTGGGTGTGTGTGTGTGGGCGTGGGCGTGGGCGTGGGCCTGGGGGCGTGGGCGTGGGCGTGGGCGTGGGCGCGGGCGCGGGCGCGGGCGCGGGCGCGGGCGCGGGCGCGGGCGTGGGCGTGGGCGTGTGTGTGCGGGCGTGTGTGTGTGTGGGCGTGTGTGTGTGGGCGTGTGTGTGTGTGTGGCGTGTGTGTTTGGGCGTGTGTGTGTGGGCGTGTGTGTGTGTGGGCATGTGTGTGTGTGGGCGTGTGTGTGTGTGTGGGCGTGTGTGTGTGTGTGTGGGCGTGTGTGTGTGTGTCTTTGTGGGCGTGTGTCTGTGTGTGTGGGCGTGTGTGTGTGGGCGTGTGTGTGTTTGTGTGGGCGTGTGTGTTTGTGTGGGCGTGTGTGTGTGTGGGCGTGTGTGTGTGTGGGCGTGTGTGTGTGTGGGCGTGTGTGTGTGTGGGCGTGTGTGTGTGTGGGCGTGTGTGTGTGTGTGGGCGTGTGTGTGTGTGTGTCGGCGCGTGTGTGTGTGTGTGTGTGTAAGCGCGTGTGTGTGTGGGCGTGTGTGTGTGTGTGGGCGTGTGTGAGTGTGGGCGTGTGTGTGTGTGGGCGTGTGTGTGTGTGGGCGTGTGTGTGTGTGTGGGGGCGTGTGTGTGTGTGGGCGTGTGTGTGTGTGTGGGCGTGTGTGTGTGTGGGCGTGTGTGTGTGTGGGCGTGTGTGTGTGTGGGCGTGTGTGTGTGTGGGCGTGTGTGTGTGTGTGGGCGTGTGTGTGTGTGGGCGTGCGTGTGTGGGCGTGTGTGTGTGTGGGCGTGTGTGTGTGTGGGCCTGTGTGTGTGCGTGGGCGTGTGTGTGTGTGGGCGTGTGTGTGTGTGTGTGTGTGCGTGAGTGTGTGTGTGTGCGCGTGCGTGCGTGCGTGCGTGCGTGCGTGGGTGGGTGGGTGGGTGGGTGCGTGGGTGGGTGGGTGTGTGGGTGTGTGGGTGTGTGGGTGTGTGCGTGCGCGTGCGCGTGCGCGTGCGCGTGCGCGTGCGCGTGCGCGTGCGCGTGTGCGTGTGCGTCTGCGTGTGCGTGTGCGTGTGCGTGTGCGTGTGCGTGTGAGGGTGCGGGCGCGGGTGCGTGCGCGGGTGCGTGCGCGGGTGCGTGCGCGGGTGCGGGTGCGGGTGCGGGTGTGGGTGTGGGTGTGGGTGTGTGTGTGTGTGTTTTGTGTGTGTGTGTGTTGTGTGTGTGTGTGGGTGCGTGTGTGCGCGTGTGCGCGCGTGTGCGCGCGTGTGCGTGTGTGCGTGTGCGTGTGCGTGTGTGCGCGTGTGCGCGTGTGCGCGTGCGCGTGTGGTGTGTGTGTGTGTGGGTGTGCGTGTGCGTGTGCGTGTGCGTGTGCGTGTGCGTGTGCGTGTGCGTGTGCGTGTGCGTGTGCGTGTGCGTGTGCGTGTGCGTGTGCGTGTGCGTGTGCGTGCGCGTGCGCGTGCGCGTGCGCGTGCGCGTGCGCGTGCGCGGGCGCGTGGCCGTGCGTGGCCGTGCGCGTGCGCGTGCGCGTGCG